CCTGGTTTTATTTAAGGCAATATACAGGCTGCTTTTCCTAGGAAAACCCTGGTGCCTCATTTCCCCCCCACGCCGCCCAAAAATAAAGATAACCATCTTCCCAATTTCATTAAAAATGCTGCTATATTTTTCCAATATATGTAGGAACAGGCTGTTGTAAAATTTAGGAAGGAAACAGCTGGATGGTGGATTGCCCGCATTATCAGTAAAAATGTCTTGGTTTTTCTATTTATAAACATTTAACACATTATTATTTTTTTTGTCACAGAAAAAGCATACTTTCATGAATTTTGGCTTTCGTACATAATATTACATGATACTACTCATAAATAGACAATATGACACATATTATAGTCATCTGATGTCTCAGATTGCTCGTGTGCATTGCCTGTATGGATACATTTCATGAGGGTATTAGCCTGAATGAAAAATATAGCGTTGCAAATTTTGCACCATACCTAATGCAACATGACACGTCAGACATACATGTATGTGTGGTATACACATGTAGCTTCTCAATCACATACCTAAAATTAATTGTTATTTATGAAAATTTAAAATATCTCAATCTTAATCACAAAAGAACAACAGTTCCACTTGAGAGCAGTTGTTTTGACGTGATGTGAAGTATTTTCCCATATAGACAATAATGGACTAAATAACGCTTTTCTTGATTGGAATTACTTCCCTTGTCAAGGGTATTCATCTCTCATTTTAATGCTGTGCACTTATAATTCCATGACAGCAACTTGTAATGGCATTGAATATATATTGTTGTTTTTTGGCCAGATTGCAACGCAATCAGGGCTTATAGATTGGCGATTCCCGTCCGTCCGTCCGTCTGTCTGTCTGTCTGTCTGTCTGCACTAAGGTTAAGAAGAATGGTTAAGCTCCGTTTCCAATTGAGTTACTAATTATCCAACATCAACTAAACATGCACGGCTTAATAGTATCTAAGGATGCTTATCACATGCGATGCTTCAGATGCTGGTTCTGACCTACATTCTCCGCTTGACTGACCAGGTTAATAAGATTGGTTGAGGTCAGCTAGGCCCCATATCTGCACTATGGTTAAGAAGATTGGTTGAGGTCAGCTAGTTGATGTAGGACAATTAGTAACTTGGTAAGTGACACTTGCACTATGGTTAAGAAGATTGGGGTAGGTCACTTACCAAGTTACTAATTGTCCTACATCAACTAAACTTGCATGGCTTGTGTATCTAAGGATGCTTATCGCATGTGATGCTTCGAATGCTGGTTCTGACCTACATTTTCCGCTGCAGTGACCAGGTTAAAAAGTTTTGTGGAGGTCAGGCCCCATCTGCACTATGTTTAGGAAGATTGTGGTAGGTCACTTACCAAGTAACTACATGTACTTGTCTTACAACAACTTAACTTGTATGGCTTGTGTATCTAAGGATGCTTATCACATGCGATGCTTCGAATGCTGGTTCTGACCTATATTTTCTGATTCAGTGACCTGGAGGTTTAGAAATTTGGTTAAGGTTAATTACTAAGTAACTACTTATTCTACATCAACTAAACTTGCATGGCTTATGTATCTAAGGATGCCTGTCACATGCAATGCTTCGGGTGCTGTTTCTGACTTACATTTACTGCTTTAGTGACCTGGAGGTTTAGAAATTTGGTTTAGGTCAGTTACTAAGTAACTACTTATTCTACATCAACTAAACTTGCATGGCTTATGTACAATTTGAACAAACTTGATAGCCCTTTACTCCAGCATGCTACTGGCCAAATATCATCACCCTGTGCATTTTGGTTATTCAGAAGTTGTTTAAATATGTATCTAAGGATGCTTATCACATGTGATGCTTTACATGAAAATGTACAGTAGCAATCCGGCCATATCGCCATTGGCGGTTTCATGTTTACTTTTTTTTTTAATTCACTTTTTCAAAAAGTATATCAGTGATTTATTATCATAAACAAACATTTTACAAGAGTAACCACTGTAAATTATATTTTAACTGGAACATATGCCTTAATTACCATAACTCTGCAAGATATATACATATATACATAAATATTTGAATACATCTACATATAATATTAACTCATTTACCCCTAAAATTTCATAATGAACTATTCCGACCTTTGAATTGGAAGAGTTCAAATATATCTCCAGGGTTGAATGAGTTAATTAACAATATCACTGACCTATACTTTTGTACTGTACATGTACTTATTCTATTTTTTCCATTCGTATAAGACAGACGTATAACCGTTAATACAATTAATTATGATTTAATTTAATTATAATGGTTAGAATAGAGTGCTACCTGTTACTTAATCTAACATAACTGTCAGAAACAGTGTACATTTTTGTACTTTATATAAATACATGTAGATGTACGTATGACTACACTGTATTGAAAAATTATATTGAAAATATTCAAGATAAATACATAATTGAATAATCCTCAAGTTAATTAGAAAATTATTAGCCAATTTATCTATATGCTTGTTTTAGTAAAAAATAATATATTATAAACCCTAGTGCATTTATACTGAGAATTAAGATCAGATATATTTTGAAGGCACCTTGTACACTTGTATTGAAGGTGATCAAATTATTGGCCATTAAGTCTTATTTGTGTTATACCAAATATTAACAGAAAAGGAAATAATAATCGATTCTAGCAATAACACCGGCTATTTACATCGGTACGATAGTATTCACTGACTTACCACAACTTGGGCTGGCTCGCTGGTATAGAGAGAAACTGGGCAGTGGAAGCCATCTTTCACGGGTACGCACTGGGGCCGCTTAGACACCCAACACAATAACAAAGTCGGCATTTAGTGTTATTATTGATATATCACGGAATTATTCATGAATTTGTGATGCTTCAATGTTTTATTGATGTATTTTTTGTTATTAATTCACGATAATTTATCGTTGACACATAGGTGTAGCGTTTATTAAACAGAAGAGGCGGATAACGATGTTTCTGTTTCCCTTAGCAACGTTAGTAAATTGATCCTTAGTTACCATTCGACAAGCGAGCATCGTGATCGATTTTTCCTTGTTTTACACGTAAATTCTTTAATACAACTTCTAATTATACATATAAGTAATGGAAATGATGAAATGGTTTGTTTAAAGAATAGTAAAGGATATTTATCGTCAAATTAACTGGCCACCTGTAACGGGCACCTGCTGTTTGCAAGGGTATAAGCGACGCGAGCTGGGGTGGCAACTGAACTGTCGGAAATAATTATACCGGAACAGAAATGGGAGATACTTTGTTTTTCAACGGCCACCAGGCTAAAGCCCCTTACCATGTCAACTATCCACCCACCGTCCCCAGGTACCCGAGCTCACAGGAAATGTTCAGGTAATTAATTAATCATTTTATCGAGTTATAAATAAGCGTATATACGATCTACATACATGCATGTGTGTATACAAATATACATGTACTTCACACATGTGAAGATATATTTTCAAGTAATATGTTTTACTGTTAACGTTGTATCCCCATCTTCGAATTCACCGATAGTTCATACAGACGACGTCAGTGTTAACCATGTAACAGTGTATATCTATATATCTGTATATTGTGATATTACAACAAACATGTACATAATCATAGTGTGACATGTTTGTGTTTGAGACACACACATCCTCCGAGTTAAATATTTCGCAGAACTTCATTCCTTGCTATGATAGAGATATTTACTGAATTAGTTTGTAAAAAATGCTCTTCTGTTTCCGCATGTATTTAAATACCTCGGGCTCTTATAACATCAGTTGAATCTTTGAGATACTAACAGGGTGTGATGTACCGTGCACGGGGGATAGATGAAGTTTTACAATGTGGTCGGAATATTCCGTTTATAGTCAATATTATATAGCAAAGTGGTTGATTTCTTCGTTCGCGGTAGACGTGTATAACCAGTGTAGCGGGAGATCTAGAGGAACAAACGCACTAACCTGCTACAAGCTGTATCCTGAGTGTTGGTGTGATATATTCCGGCTATTTTGGTAGAATGTCAATCTCCTGTGGTCATGTAGAATGCATGATGCAAATATGTCACCATCATACATGGGGGTTGAAGATATAATAATTAATTAAGCAATGAAATAAATAAGTTAATTAATAAAAAATGAAATATGTTGGATAACTTCTTATATTCCACTGAGTGTGGTATTATAGCTCTTAGTGTGGTATATAAAAGCTCTGATTGTGGTATATTATAGCTGAAGGATGGTTTATTATAGCTTTAGGGTGGTACATTATAGCTGAAGGATGGTTTATTATAGCTGTAGGGTGGTAGATTATAGCTGAAGGATGGATTATAGCTGTAGGGTGGTATATTATAGCTGTAGGGTGGTAGATTATAGCTGTAGGGTGGTAGATTATAGCTGAAGGGTGGTTCATTATAGCTGTAGGGTGGCGCATATTATAGTTGTAGGGTGGTTTATTATAGTTGTAGGGTGGTATATTATAACTGTAAGGTGGTATATTATAGCTGAAGGGTGGTTTATTATAGCTGTAGGGTGGCGCATATTATAGTTGTAGGGTGGTTTATTATAGTTGTAGGGTGGTATATTATAGCTGTAGGGTGGTATATTATAACTGTAAGGTGGTTTATTATAGCTGTAAGGTGGTGCATATTATAGGTGTAGGGTGGTTTATTATAGGTGTAGGGTGGTATATTATAGCTGTAGGGTGGTATATTATAACTGTAAGGAGGTTTATTATAGCTCTGAGGGTGGTAGATTATAGCTCTGAGCCTGGTAGCTTATAGCTGAAGGATGGTATATTATAGGTGTAGGGGGGGTTATTATAGGTGTAGGGGGGGTTATTATAGGTGTAGGGTGGTATATTATAACTGTAAGGTGGTTTATTATAGCTGTAAGGTGGCGCATATTATAGGTGTAGGGTGGTTTATTATAGGTGTAGGGTGGTTTGTTATAGGTGTAGGATGGTAGATTAAGGCTGAAGGGTGGTATATTATAGCTGTTGGGTGGTTCATTATAGCTGAATGATGGTATATTATAGTTGTAGGGTGGTTTATTATAGGTGTAGGGTGGTTTATTATAGGTTTAGGGTGGTAGATTATAGCTGAAGGGTGGTATATTATAACTGTAAGGTGGTTTATTATAGCTGAATTGTGGTTTATTATAGGTGTAGGGTGGTTTATTATAGGTGTAGGGTGGTAGATTATAGCTGAAGGGTGGTTTATTATAGCTGTAGGATGGTAGATTATAGCTGAAGGGTGGTATATTATAACTGTAAGGTGGTTTATTATAGCTGAATTGTGGTTTATTATAGGTGTAGGGTGGTAGATTATAGCTGAAGGATGGTATATTATAGCTGTAGGGTGGTTTATTATAGCTGAATGATGGTATATTATAGGTGTAGGGTGGTATATTATAGGTGTAGGGTGGTATATTATAGGTGTATGGTGGTATATTATAGGGGTAGGGTGGTTTATTATAGCTGTATGATGGTTTATTATAGGTGTAGGGTGGTTTATTATAGTTGTAGGGTGGTTTATTATAGCTGAAGGGTGGTATATTATAGCTGTAGGGTGGTTTATTATAGCTGTAGGGTAGTAGATTATAGCTGAAGGGTGGTATATTATAGCTGTATGATGGTAGATTATAGGTGTAGGGTGGTTTATTATAGCTGAAGGGTGGTTTATTATAGGTGTAGGGTGGTTTATTATAGGTGTAGGGTGGTTTATTATAGGTGTAGGGTGGTTTATTATAGGTGTAGGGTGGTTTATTATAGGTGTAGGGTGGTTTATTATAGGTGTAGGGTGGTTTATTATAGGTGTAGGGTTGTTTATTATAGGTGTAGGGTAGTAGATTATAGCTGAAGGGTGGTTTATTATAGGTGTAGGGTGGTTTATTANTGGGTGGTTCATTATAGCTGTTGGGTGGTTTATTATAGCTGTAGGGTGGTAGATTATAGCTGAAGGATGGTTTATCATAGCTCTGAGGGTGGTAGATTATAGCTCTGAGTGTGGTAGATTATAGCTGAAGGATGGATTATAGCTGTAGGGGGGTTTATTATAGCTGTAGGGTGGTAGATTATAGCTCTGAGTGTGGTAGATTATAGCTGAAGGATGGATTGTAGCTGTAGGGTGGTTTATTATAGCTGTAGGGTGGTAGATTATAGCTGTAGGATGGTATATTATAGCTGTAGGGTGGTTATTTTATAGGTGTAGGGTGGTAGATTATAGCTGTAGGGTGGTAGATTATAGCCTTAGGATGGTATATTATAGCTGTAGGGTGGTACACTATAGCTGTAGGATGGTATACTATAGCTGTAGGGTGGTTATTTTATAGGTGTAGGGTGGTTTATTATAGGTGTAGGGTGGTTTATTATAGCTGTAGGATGGTAGATTATAGCTGTAGGGTGGTATATTATAGCTATAGGGTGGTTTATTATAGCTGAAGGATGGTATATAATAGCTGTAGGGTGGTATATTATAGCTGTAGAGTGGTTTATTATAGTTGTAGGGTGATATATTATAGCTGTAGGGTGGTTTATTATAGCTGTGGGGTGGTTTATTATAGCTGTGGGGTGGTTTATTATAGCTTTGAGGGTGGTAGATTATAACACTGCGTGTGGTACGATACTATAACTGTGTGTCGTATATTATAGCTCTGAGTGGTATTTTTTTTAGCTGCTGTGAACTTTATGGGTGTAATTCATCATACTGATGTGTATATGTTATATGTTCATCATAAAATATTTATCAATATCATATTTAAAATATAAAAAAGCATCTATTATTGTTTTAATGAATTCCTCAGGTTTGTTTTGTTAATCCCGTCATCATTTTAGTTAGCGTCAACTTAATGATTAAATCTTATTTATGTTTGTATTCAACTTTTAATTTTATCAATCTGTTGTGTCTTGTTGCAAAAGTTAGCAACGTCGTTTTATAGATTTCAGCCCGATTGGAAAGAAACTCGTTTTGCTTTAGAGTCGTCTATAAATAGCAATTGGAACGATAAACCACTATGAAATGATGCTGAAAGTGAACACGTTGGATTTAAAACAACTTATACAACTTAAACTGAGGCCAAGTTCACTCTTGTCAATTCTAAACGGTTGTTAAAATGCACAGGAACCTGAGAATTTGTTACAGCTATATTTGGACTTAACCTTTTCACCCCTATGTAACTTTAGTAGACTCTACCATGCATAGATATGGACGAGTCCATTATGGTCTACAGTGGTGAAAGGTTTAAACTAAAGCGATCAGAGTAATTTTACACATTTTAGGGTTCGGATCGGTAAAAACGACATCCCCAATATTAATGATGATATATTGGGGGTGAAGGATACAGAACAAAAAAGTGCTGTACCATTTTTCCAAACATTAGTATCGCCTAGTGCTGTATTATAAGTTGTTTTGTCAACAAAAATGGTTTTCGTGTGTCTATAGCTTTATATTTGCGAAAATGATGTCGGTCAATGCAGGGTTAACTGAATTTATACATCGATGTGATTTTATTGTTACAGGAGGGACAGTCCAGATAAGTACACAACACTAAAGAGGGAGAGAGTATCTTACCAGGTAGGTCCACCTACTTATTAGTGTCATTTTAATGGTGCCAGGGCCCACATTCGTGCTCAAGCATGGATACTGTGCTCACACCAATTTTCTTGTCACTTGCTTAAATCTTGTGACATGGTAAAAATGTAAACATTGAAAACAGTATTTGGCTATCATAGACAAGTGTGTGTGTAAGGGGTCACTTGCCCGACACGTGCGCTGGGTTTTCTCCGGGGTATTCCGTTTTTTTCTTCCCACAGGAAGATCCCCCGCGCGCTAACATCCGTATCAACAAGAGTGTTTATATATACATGTAGAAAATATATAAGAAGTTGGTGAAATTATCGTTATCAATTGCTACGTACGAACATTTGTGTGACTTTGTTGTATCTCTACTAATTAGTACACTCCAGCATATTTATTCTTTAATTAATTCGAAATGTTTTGTGTGTAAATTCTCAACATTCTGACCAGTTTATGAGAATAAAGTCATTGTCAATGTATATGTGTTTCTCCCTTAGCACTGGACTGACAAATGGTACGACAATGGCTACCCGACTCTCCAGCGCCGGGAGCTGCCAAAACGTTCAGACAGACACGAGCCTTGCAGTCAGCCATGGCAATACAATATTGGCACCTCGGCCGTCAGTCGGTGGACCAAAGACGGCAAGGATTGGCCGGTGTCTCCGCAATACCTCACCCAAGGCAGACCCCCAACCGAGGCCACGCGCGCACGTGGTATCAACCGTCTGTCCCTTCCCCGCGAAGAAAATTTGTACCCGTTCTCCAACTACATGACGTCACAGTATAGAAAACCAGTGTATTCCGTATTTGGACATCTACAGAGAGATAAGGTTTACGGCGTTACTCACCAACACAACCGACACGGAAACATGCCATTCGAAGATTACTACTAAATATTAAGGTTCCACGTATTTGTTCTAGTATATTTTTGACCCTTCGACGAAAAAAAAACCCACGACTTAAATTGAAGGTAAACCTATAACTGTATACAAAATCAAACCCTTTTGGAAAAACGTTGTTACAGAGTTCATAACAACGTAAACGTAAAAAACAAAAACCCATTCACCCCTACACATCTAAACTGGAGTTACCCAGTCTTTGATTTGGTAAGGTTCAAATTTGACTTTAAGGGGTGGATGGGTTAAAGCAAACAATGATTTCATATTTTAATTGTCAAATGAAAAGTCAAAGGGGACTCTTAAGCTCATAAGACTCACAGCTGATATTGCCGATATTCAGGTCGGCAAAGCTGTATTTTATTTAATATTCCTCAATAGTTTGGATAGAGATATTAGAACACATTTTCTGTCATTTTCTTTTATTTAGAAATAAGGACAAGTAGTATTGAGTAAATAGCCTAGCCGCCAACTTAACAAAATGATTAGGATATTTTTTATACAAATCCTTTTATATTGAATAAGGTTAGTGGGGGTTTTTCTCACTACAATTTTGTTTATTCATGAGCATCATACTGTTGTATCTGTCATTGTATTAGTTTGAAACAATACAAATATACCTATACATACATACATGCATCCTCGACACTACGTCATGGGTTCCACTCACTTTCGTTTGGTGCAGGGAGCAAAAGTGAGCATAACCCCTGGAGTATGGAGGATAACATACAATGTACATGTAATTTACTCTATATTCCCCTGTGGTTGTAAGTTAGGGTTTCGGGGCGTTTATATGTTTGGAATACGGGCATGTGTGAAAGTATATTCATTATACAATACACGTTTTTGTTATGTAAATATATTCCCAAAAATAACTCTATTTTTTGAAGATTTTGTTTTTGTTTTGCATTAAAAATACCTCTTGTACACTTAATCTGTTGACCATATGGACAACCTGAAAATGTCTAGTCTATTCCAACACAAGACATTGAGTCTACTCTATTTGACATGATGTTGTCACAGCTAAGACCTTATATCTGGAAAGTATCTTGGTATTTGACATTTCCCATTTTGTACTTAAGATCTGGACTTTGTGTAAGTGCAAAAAAATCCCACTTAATACCTAATACGTTGACATTTTGTTGATTTTTTTTTTTTGCCCTAAGACCTAACATTTCGACATTATATTAGTGTAAAATATTTCCCACCTAAGAATCTATATATGGACTTGGTGTCCGTGTAAGGATCCCTGTCCTACTGCACTGGTTTTTCCCTATATGCAGTTACCTCCCCTGAATTTTCCATTTTGATACACTTCTGTTTACCAGGTAGCTCAATCAGTAAGAGCGATAGTATATCAATCTGAAGTCCAGGGTTCGAATCTGCTGAATTCTTACACTCAGAATACTGTTGATTGTATTTTATTTATTTCGTCTTTACTATTTCTCATAAAAGTCCCGCAATATGTAGTTTTCTTTTCGGAAATGTTTTATCAAAGCAATAGTCATTCCGGGAAAAAAACTCTTTCCAATGTGTTGTTACATTTTTTTGGCAGAGGTACGGGGACCCTTAAGACCTAATATCAGGACATATTGTCAGTATAAACTATTTGCAGACGTGAGGTCAGTCTGAAAATTCTAATCATAATTTAAAGCTGTTAGACAAGTTAGCTAAATTAGTTTTTTGTATTAAGGTTTGGTCAATTAGTAAAATTAATTTAGTCTTATATTTTGTGGTGTTTTATGATGTTAAGAGTGATTGTTTTGACACGTTGTATTGTTAACATTATAATCATTTGTGATAACACTGGTTTTCTTTTCTGTAACAAAAATATATTTCTACATATTTTTGTAAATTATATTTCTTTATACTTTGTTCACTAGTCTGAACTGTTTTGTTCAAACTACATTTGTTGATTATATTTCAAATTCTATGCACATCTTTGCTCCTCACAAAGTGTTGATATATGTAATCTTTTAATCAGAATTTTTAATTTTACCACTTATTAATAAATATTTTGTTACTTCTTTTTTTAAATGAATTGTGATGGTGATGTTAATCAATTGTATTGCTGGAGTAATTTAACCCTTTCACCCCTATGTAACTTTAGTGAATTATTCCATGCATTGATCTGGAAGAGTCCATTATCAGGTATACATGGGCGAAAGAGCTAAGGACTTACTTCACCTGGTGTTAATGAGTGTAAAGAAGATAACTCTTAGTAGAGATTGTGTAATGTCATACAGTTCTGTGTAATCAATCGGACTTGTTAATGAGTGTAAAGAACGATAACTCTTGGTAGATATTGGGTAATGTCATACAGTTCTGTGTAATCAATCAGACTTGTTAATGAGTGTAAAGAACGATAACTCTTGGTAGAGATTGCGTAATGTCATACAGTTCTGTGTAATCAATCAGACTATCCAAATGTTAACCCTTTCACCCCTAGGTAACTTTAGTAGACTCTACCTTACTTTTATCTGGATGAGTCCATTGTGGTCCACAGTGGTGAAAGGGTTAAGCATAGTATGACTATTTCACGAAATACGTGTTGTAGACTGTATTTCCTGTCGTGGAACGATTTCCTCCCGGTAAACTTTGAAGAAGAAAATGGAGAATGGTAAAAACAATAGCGGGCAATCCAGCATACAGTTTCTGCGGAGAAATCTGCGGTTCAGTTTAACATTTTCTACCAAATCTAGTTCTTACTTGGTGCATATTTCTCCCTGTAAATCACAGTCAGTAGCGTCAGCATCATGGTAAGAACATTTCATAATCATGTTATAATGATGTGTTTTGTTGATAATAATAAATATTTCTAGAATAGAGACAGATTATGTGTTGTTTATTTAACGTGTCAAGGATGTTTTGAAAATATTTGCATTTCTTTTTAAAATGCGTCAAAGATATGAAAATCTGGATTTTTTGTTTTGGGGTAAAACATTTTATAAGATGTATTTAATTATGAAAATGCAACTGAGTTTCAAAAATTAAGCATTACTTTTGGAAATAATGACGGATTCTAAAAATATATACATTTCTTACAACAACAACAACTTGATTTTAAACATTCAGAAATAAAACGAACTTCTAAAATGTGACTGTTAGGCCTATATACAATTCTTTTGAAAGTAAAATTATTTTCTAAAAAATATGTAAATTCCTTTTTGAAATACAAATTAAGTACCTTCAAAAAAAAATATGCCTTGTCATAGATCGATACGTCAAACAGTAATTACGATAATTATAAGCGAGGAACAGGAATCAAGGGGACGCCTAAATTAAAACACAAAATGCATCAACTTCATATTCCTTCTTTTCGTATTGCAGAGTTATCTGCTCTTGTGAGCAGGTATTGAGTGTTACGTCATTAGTTTGTGTGAGAAAATTACATCGTTGTCTCAAAAATTTATGGCGTTTCTCTCACAAACAAATGACGTAACAACCAATACCTGCTCACATGAGCAGATAACTCTGCGATACGAAAAGACGGCATACGAATTTAGAAAAGGAATATCTTTCGCAAAATTTCAAATTTATGTGTATGTACTACATGGCTTTATATGTATCTGGCCTACCAATCTCCCGAGTTCCGCTCACTGATCTGCCTTGGAACCCTATAATATGTCATGAAAAATAAAAAATGAAGGTTAATTCGGTGCGCGCCACCTTATGGATGAAAGAAGTACACAAGTTTGATATTTTGATGTACATCAAAATAATAGCGAGGCAGTGTAGCTGTCAATTGACCAGCTTTGATCTCGGGAGGAGCTCCTCTAAACTTTTCAAAGGGCATGTATCATCCTAGCGATTGGTCAATATATTTTTTATCTGAAACCAATCGAATTGGACGCACCGTGCTTTCGATTTCGTCATTACATACTCTAGGGATGCAAAGTCGTAACACATGGAGTTCGGAGGATACATTCATATACACTTATAAAACAACGAAGAAAAAAGTACAAATTTCAAAAAATACAATTGTATTTCTTTCATAATAAATATTTTTTTATTGACATAAATTGATACAATGAGATATATCTATGTTTGAAGTAGAGTCAGGATGTATGGTATGTCCGCCGTGTCTATGTGTATTAGCGTCACGACAGGTTAGTAGCTCCCTGCAATGGAAAAAAAAGAAACATGAAAAACAAGCATAAATATTTGTCAATATAAGATCCAATTACCTGGTCCAGTAAAAACATTCAAAATACTACTTTTCGTAAAGGTCGCGTTGCAATCTATTTATATTAGTTTTGAGAAATATATATATTTTTTTATATATATATCTGGACAATTTACTTTTTTGTTTGTGTTTTACGTCCTAACAGCTATGGTGGTGGAGAAATATTGCTAGAAAAGGAGTGTTTGAACTGAATCAAATGTTGCTTTTCCCATCTGTGCTTGAATTTCATTTTGACATAGTCAATTAGCTGAACAAAGCAAGCATGGTTACGGTAGTGATTTTCTATCGTTTCACTACTGGAACATTGTATACATGGAAATGATTAACCCCCAACTATAAAATACGTACTTTCCAAAAATTGTCATGATGATGAGATTTCCTATTATGTGCTGCATATAATATCCGTTATAATATGTAAACTTAATTCATTTTACAACAATTATAAAACAAGTTATTTCAACTTTTATTAATTACTCTTGTTGACCCAGATGTTACCGCGCGGGGGTCTTCATGTGGGAGGACACCGGAGTACCCGGACAAAACCCAAGTGGTCGGGAATTAACGACTTTTTGAAGAATAAAACAAAATCTGGTAGGAATATATCACAACGACGGATCACCATGAATTACTACTGTATTGCAATATTTGTAACCAATGTACTTACGTCTACCCTTTTGTCCACTGGTTCCATGTTGGTATCGGCTTCTAATGCCGCCTCCCATACCACGGGTTCCACCGATACCACCAATTCCGATGATTCCACCTATTCCACCATGTCCACCGCCCATTCCACCCATTCCACCGTATCCTCCATAACCACCGCCCATTCCACCGATTCCACCGTATCCACCGTTCATTCCATCGTATCTGCCATAACCACCGCCCATTCCACCCGTTCCTCCGTATCCACCGTTCATTCCACCGTATCTGCCATAACCACCGCCCATTCCACCGTATCCACCGTATCCACCGTTACCACCGCCCATTCCACCGTAAATAGGATAATTGCCACCCATGTTACCGTATCGTCTCATACCGTAACCACCTCCCATTCCACCGTGTCCACCGCCCATTCCTCCGTATCCACCGCCCATTCCACTGTAAAAAGGATAGTTGCCACCCATTCCACTTTGTCCCCACATGCCACCCGGATAAGAATTGACTCCCATGCCATTATAAATGTCGCCTCCCATACCGGGATAAACGCTCATGCCTCCTGGATAACCTGTTGGGTATCCCCCGCCTTTTCCCCAATTGCCGCCTCCGTTGCCGCCACCATGTCCGCCTCCCCTACCGCCTGTAACAAAAAAACATACAACTTCTAGAGAAACAGATTCATATTGTCACAGACTAATACAATGACAGACAAAGCAACCATTACAATAATATCAGACAACAATGTTATTAAATGCATATAGACTGCTTAAATTCGCTACCGGTTTAGCTTTACCTGCACTGACCCTGGTGTTGCTGTCTAGGGAGTTAGTCCTCTATCGGCCATGTGTTAGTCCAAAAACTAAAACACTCCTGCACACTAACTACCTCGGATGTTTTCGCAACTTTCTCACCGTAATGGCCGAGCGATTAAATCAGGTAAGAGATGGGTGGCCGTGAGACAATTTGGAAGCATACAATATTGAATGAGTAAAAGCTTAGGCTCCCGATAGACTTTAAAAATAGCATATGTGCGTTTCGTATCGGTGTAATAGAAAAGAGGTAAATTATTGATTATTTTAATATAGTAATTTTCTGGTGCACCTCGACCACACTTATGCTTGAACTTGGCCTTGGGAAATAGTCTAGTTCAACCAGACGCTTGATCACTTTGTAATTCTCTGTTCGGTATACCTTGCGCAGACAACAAGAGTCTGGTTGAATGACTACTTGGGAAATAGACACGGTCTTGTGGAACCGGAAACTAAATATATCCCTCAGGCATATACTTTAATGAAACACTTATCCTTTGTAAAACTCCTTTAGAAGATAATACATTTCGTTGCATTCTACTTAAAAGGCCAGATTAAATGAAATGGAGTTCATGATAGCAATGGAGTTGCAAAATGTATGACGTCATTTGTAAGCCAGTGTCACGTTTGGTAGAACGCTTGATATAGCACATCGATAGCTTTGGATAACTTGCCCCAGTGACTAAGTTTGCAAGAGTGCTGATTCATCGATGATAAACATGAACAATTATGATCAGAACACGTTTTAAATTCGATGCATGGTGACCAAGTTTGAAGAATGAACCGATTGAATGACAGTTTATTTATCTTCCAAACCCGATATGAAATCCATTGCTCAACATGTTTGATTATAACATATCTTATTTTCAAAATAAAAATTGGATTAGACACAAGTTAAAAAAGCTTATCATTCCTCTTCTTCCTTAACACAATAATGATTACATGTATATATATACATATGGCTGCAAACTAGAAAAAAATATGACTGTAAATGTCAATGATTCTAATTCGATATACGTTAAAAATCGTGTAGATTATTTTTGTATATTATGTACCCTTGCATGTCGTAACAACGTGTATTTAATATAACGTTATTGCAGTCTGGCATATTAAACAACATACTTTTTTTAACATTTTTAAATTGGAAAATGCTATCAACGATACGTGTAATATACGAGGCTAGCACCTATGGTTAATGTATGGTCAGTCTTCCTCAATTCTACCGACACAATATATATTTGTATCATATTTACGACGGATGACGTACCTGCATTAACTAGAGCAGCGAGAAGAACCGTGGCAACACATCCAAAGGAAAAGATATTCATCTGGAAAAAAAACAACCATTTGTTACTAACAGATACAGACAAGACACAAATATCAAAATAAGAATTCCAATAAATATATATAGAGAGAAAATCGCCTAAAGAGCCCCAAGATGGGCGAAAGTAGTCGCGAGATTTAGTCTTGTGTGTTTTGTTTTATTTCTATTTCTACAATCCCATGAATGTTTAATACATTTTTACTACGATATATAAGTGTATAAATATCATTTCAAAACAAGAGAGTTATGATTATTAATTTGATTTTTATAATTAATTAAAATAGCATCATTGTCATCTCAAAACGAATGTTATCTACATTTATTTGTGTATATAATGAGTTAATTAATAAATGTATTTATTTATTTAGTTACTTGCAATATCATTATTTTTCACAGATTATACATAAGTTTAGTTTCATTCAGCAATGTCTTTTACAACAATGAATTCCGCCTTAGAAAAATAATGTGGTTTCTTTACATCTTGCTAAATATAAAAATGTATGGAAATAAATGTGCTTATATCAATTATCATATATATATAGTATATAATAAGACGATAACACGATGAATTGAAATACATACTTAAAACTTGTGTAATGATATATATTCTAAGAAATGCTATTATCAACAAACACAGCAAATAGCTGACAAACCTATATTCTGGCATTTAGTACGTATTCTTTGCCATTAAGTTTACGTTAAAGCTAGATATTTTACATTTACTGTAAAAGTGGAAATTTTCGCGTTAACTAAATTAGCGCAAAACTAATCCACACGCGAATATGTAATAATGTATTATAGATATATAATTTATAAAGTTTCATAACTATTGCCAACACGAACATTTTCACACCGCGATCTGTTTTGAAGAATCATAACGCGAACATTTCCACAGGCGAAAAAATCCTCTTTTGCAGTATACTGCACATTTCACATTCCGATATATTTACTTACATTTTCTCTCTATCCTTCAAAAATACTTAATTTAAATGAGCACTAATCCTTCATTTTGACCAACGAGTATAAATGATATAGAGGCATTTTCACTCTCCCCATATACGTAAAATATAAACAGAAACTAAAGTCGACTGACTTACCGTGACTTCTGATGGACAGGTAAAGATCTAGACTGGACAGCTCGATCTTGGCCGGAGTGATGACCAGTGAGGTAGGACTGGACATTATATACACCAGTGCCACTTTCAACATCTCAACGTTAGTGCTCGACAAAGGACGAGCACTTGTAATTGATCAAAGCGGCGTTGTCGTACAACGCAAGAACACTACAACACATATATCAAACATGTTAGAAATTAATATAACATAAACATTACACAGAGTAACCAGAAGTTGACCCTAAGTTACTGAGACAATTGTATGTTCATATGCATGTTCTAAATAAATGTTTAGTTTTCGTTTGATTCAACATAATGAATTAATATGATATTTTTACATGCGGCGATATACTTCTGCCGGATATCACGTGACTACAAAAGTCCCGGTGAAACAAGATTAAAATGATATCCCCTGACAACGCAGAACGAATTATACAATTTCTGCACTGCATAACCAGTCTTGAAGGTTGATTTAAGTAAGTGTGGCACGGCTAACAGTTTAAAACTAACATTATTGTAGTCAAAAGTTTCAAATTTATAAAATTGTATATGCACATTTCCTACTTTGCCGCAATTCTATATATGTTTGTAATTCTTTGGACATGATTTATTTTTCATTACTTTCAACTTAAGTGCTGCTGATGAGTGCTGAATGGATGAAATGCCTATATGGTACAACTTTCCTCCCTGGTTGTAATTCTACGTATATTTTGTATTACTTTGGACGTTATTTTCCCCCTTTTTTATTAGTATCTCATATAGGGTGGGCGGGTGACGCAGTGGAAAACACACTCGCCTTACACCAAGACGGCCAGGGTCGATCCCCCGATCGGACATGAAAACTAAAAAGGTATTGGGTCACCTGCCCGACTATGGGGTTCCCTCCGGGTACTCCGGTTTCCTCCCACATTAAGACCCTCGCGCGCTAAAGTCTGGCCCACCGAGATTGATTAAAATGAGTTGAAATGACTTGATTCATAACTACTGTAAAATAAATAAAGTTTTTGTTTTTTTATTCTTATGAACTTAAATATCACCAATGAGACCCGAATTGAAAAAATGGCCATATTGTGTAGTAATTGTTAAATTTTATTAGGTATTACAACATTACAACATTTTTGGTGTATTTTAAGTGATAAAAGGTGGCTGAAATTTACACAGGAAAAAACAAAATTTGATGTAAAACGTTTAGCTTTAATGAGTAATAGGCCAAGCTATGGAGGAAATAAGCTGTTATTATCACAGCTGTAACCAGTTCATACTACAAATTGATACTTCGTAATGTATTAACTTGTTGCTGAAAATAATTAATTAAATCAAAGCTTATAGTATTTGGTAGATTGTAAAAACCAAAACTTTTAGCATCTGGTAGATTGTAAAAAAATCAAATAACATTTCTTAACAGTGTCCTCGGGTTCGTATGTAAGTGTTTTAAAAGTATTTATACGTGACGTTTCAATAACATGGACGGTATGTACTCTGTCACCTCCATCAGACAAGTGACCAGTCAGGCGCATATAAACTATGTAAGAGTTGGCGATATAAAATCGACGTCGATTCGACTACGCTTTAATCGTTTTATCCGCCATTTCGTACATTTATAACAAGTAAGTAAAGATTGGCTTATAGTAAAGTGTGGCCGAATCGACGTCGCTTTCCTATCGTAAACCTGCTACAGGAAAGTCATAAAATTTTGCCAGTTTTTAGTAAAATATTAAAACCCACATGTTGTCTGTATTGTTTACTCTTTATGTACAAGCTCACCCAACATACAAAAAATCAATGTATACAAAAATGCACAACCTGCACAATGTATGGTATATATAAGTAAATGTATTTGAAATGTATTTATATCTGTTTCTGTAATCCTATAAGGATCACTATCCGTGAAGTGTGAAGCGCCTTAACGTGTGTTTGTAAATCATATAGGGTGCTATGTATATGCTGTATACTATTACTAATATATACGAAATACACTTTATCTTTTAGACATACTTTCATTCTACTTTGCAACCATGCATGGAAACATCAAAACAATCTAAAAGACAGCAAACAGGAACTAAGGATACACCAAACCAAGGCAAAAACAACGGAATCTTAGAAAATGTCAATCAAAACAAAGAAAACAACAGAAACTGATTACACAGAAAACCAAACGGGACGATATCACGTATGTAAGATAATATGGGGGTGAAACTTTAAGCTCTGACAGGGTCAGCGTTTCGCGTATACCATATATGTAGCACCCGTCGTGATGGCTTCAACCAAGTCCTAGTAAACAGCAATATGAGACACATTGAATATAATAGACAAAATGGTTGTGAGAGTCAGGGGTTGTCAACTTTCAAAATTTAAATATTTCACATTTACACGTCAGAGTACGTAATTAGTAACACATTATATATAAATACCAGATATCTGCATTGCCATAGGAGTTTTGTTATACGTACGGAAAACAACTTTTGAAATTAACCAGTAGCATCCGTTAAAACTTTCACATGATTGCTTTTTAACACTAAAACATTGACTTACTTTTGACATTTGTTGGGGTGTAGGGTTTTTGGAACTTATTTGAGTAATCCCAAAATATATTAAACATATCACACAAAACTGTTTTATTGAAAACGTATCGAAAAATGTTATTATCTATAGGCAAAATAAGAACACACTTTTTCATGCTAAAGGAAGAGGGTGAGGGGGAATGTACAATTCATGAATAATTTTCTACATTTTGATTCTTATTAGAGTTGTCTCCCTTCAGATTCAGATAGTTCTCTTCTTTCAGAGCTATATACAAATATATATTAGATGACACACATTTCTCTTACATTTTCATTGATTGGGTCATAATCACGTGGAGGTCAGTGCTTTGTGATATTGTCTTGGTGTTTATTATTTGAAAATAAAACCAGGTCAAAATACAATTTATGACGTCATTTCAACTGTAACATCACAATTAATTCTCTCCGCAAATGTAGTACATTCCTCCGTACAATTTTCATCCGTTCCATCTTGTTTAATGTTTAAAACATTATTTAGCATCTTATATAACAATTAAGGACTTTTATTTCGGTTAATATATTTTTGCAAGCATGTAACCAGACACATATGCCGTTCTCACGTGCGCTTGTTCTAATACATTTTCATGGGGATTTTTTTTACAAAACACTGCATTTTGCACAGAGTTATCCGAAACCGAAAGCGAAAGTACAAACAGGCATGGGGTTACCTAGAAGCGCTAGAACAACCTTGACCGTTCGCGAGGCATAATACTACGTCACATCATGGACGTTTACAAAGGATTTCGTAGATGATTACACATTCTAGGAAGAAGAAGTAGCTAACCCGTAAGATAAATTGAATTATGCAAATGTTGTATGTAAAGGCTTGCTGGGAGACTTATTCAGATGATTAATAAGGCAAGGCTCGTGTCATTGTAAAACAATTTTAAAGGGCTCGTCTTATTACCTCAGAATATTGAAGGACGAAAACAGTTTGGTAGTCGTATATTGAGAACTATGAATAGCATTACCATTGGTAAAACTTTTATTTGCGTAATTATTTTCTCTGTAAGTGACATTTAATTACAGAATTTTTGTTCACATGCACAGCTTCATATATAACATGATATAAAATAATCATATTATACGGGTATACCTGAAGTATTCATGTAGTTACTTTTTCCGAGAATATGTTAAAAAAATCCAACATATATCACAACAGATCATTAAAGTGATATCATTAAGCTAACAAGGCTGAGCATCCCAGCCAAGCCAGATCACTTGACTGAGAACTTTGTACCGTGTACAGGTAAAATCAATGCACGCGTTGCATGTTTTTTGTAACCTTCAGTCAGCCTTGTTAGCTTTGTGTTCAGTTGTCATTGAGCACATCTAATGTTATCTTTCTGGACCCTTAATGCATTTCCTTACAGTTTTCTCGATATTATCCAATCCATTGATACTTCAGTACAGACTTTCTGTTCAATATTTTTAATATCCAAGGCTGTGCGTATGCACAAATTCCCGTGTTCAAATATCACATTTCAGACTAAAGGACCTTTATTTTAATCAAAGAGTTTAACCAAAGGCCATTTAAGGATTTTTCTTTGTACTTTATAACCAAACTGCTTCTTTAATTTTTTATTATTGAAAGGAAAACTGAGATGGGCGACTACAAATTTTTCAGCAGACATGAGCTCGGATGAAATATACATTCGTACATGCAATTTACTGAACCTCATTTGCACTCAGCGTATGTTGATTCACTGATAAGATAAGATTGTATTGCATAGAGCCGAGAATATGTGCTTGATATACTGTGGTAAAACCCTGTGTCAAAACAAGATCGATTTCTTAATGTTAACTAATATAACGCATGTTGGTGATTTTATACTGAAAATCTGCAACTTCAGTCTATTACAAATGTGGTAAGCGGGTCTGAGAATGAGAAGATGTGAGGAGAAGAGCCTTTTGTAATGAGAATCTGCAACTTCAGTCTCATACGAATGTGGTAAGCGGGTCTGAGAATGAGAGATGTGAAGAGAAGAGCCTTTTGTACTGAGAACCTGCAACTTCAGTCTAATACGAATGTGGTAAGCGGGTCTGAGAATGAGAAGATGTGAAGGGAAGAGCCTTTTGTACTGAAAACCTGCAACTTCAGTCTAATACGAATGTGGTAAGCGGGTCTGAGAATGAGAAGATGTGAAGGGAAGAGCCTTTTGTACTGAGAACCTGCAACTTCAGTCTAATACGAATGTGGTAAGCGGGTCTGAGAATGAGAAGATGTGAAGGGAAGAGCCTTTTGTACTGAAAATCTGCAACTTCAGTCTAATACGAATGTGGTAAGCGAGGCTGAAAATGGGAAGATGTGAAGGGAAGAGCCTTTTGTACTGAAAATCTGCAACTTCAGTCTAATACGAATGTGGTAAGCGAGGCTGAAAATGGGAAGATGTGAAGGGAAGAGCCTTTTGTACTGAAAATCTGCAACTTCAGTCTAATACGAATGTGGTAAGCGGGTCTGAGAATGAGAAGATGTGACGGGAAGAGCCACCATATATGTAGCACCCGTCGTGATGGCTTCAACCAAGTCCTAGTAAACAGCAATATGAGACACATTGAATATAATAGACAAAATGGTTTTGAGAGTCAGGGGTTGTCAACTTTCAAAATTTAAATATTTCACATTTACACGTCAGAGTACGTAATTAGTAACACATTTTATACAAATACCAGATATCTGCATTGTCATAAGAGTTTTGTTATACGTACGGAAAACATTGAAATTAACCACTAGCATCCGTTAAAACTTTCACATGATTGCTTTTTAACACTAAAACATTGACTTACTTTTGACATTTGTTGGGGTGTAGGTTTTTTGGAACTTATTTGGGTAATCCCAAAATATATTAAACATATCACACAAAACTGTTTTATTGAAAACGTATCGAAAAATGTTATTATCTATAGGCAAAATAAGAACACACTTTTTCATGCTAAAGGAAGAGGGTGAGGGGGAATGTACAATTCTCTCCGCAAATGTAGTACATTCCTCCATACAATTTTCATGCGTTCCATTTTGTTTAATGTTTAAAACATTATTAAGCATCTAATATAACAATTAAGGACTTTTATTTCGGTTATTATATTTTTGCAAGCATGTAACCAGACACATATGCCGTTCTCACGTGCGCTTGTTCTAATACATTTTCATGGGGATTTTTTTTTACAAAACACTGCATTTTGCACAGAGTTATCCAAAACCGAAAGCGAAAGTACAAACAGGCATGGCGCTACCTAGACGCGCAAGAACAACCATGACCGTTCGCGAGGCATAATACTACGTCACATGATGGACGTTAACAAATGATTTCGTAGATGATTACACATTCTAGGAAGAAGAAGTAGCTAACCCGTAAGATAAGTGGAACTATGCAAATGTTGTATGTAAATGCTTGCTGGGAGATTTATTTAGATATATAATTAATAAGTCAAGGCTCGTGTCATTGTAAAACAATTGTAAAGGGCTCGTCTTATTACCTCAGAATATGGAAGGACGAAAGCAGTTTGGTAGTCGTATATTGAGAACTATGAAAAGCTTTACCATTGGTAAAACTTTTATTTGCGTAATTATTTTCTCTGTAAGTGACATTTTATTACAGAATTTGTGTTCACATGCACAGCTTCATATATAACATGTTATAAAATAATAATATTATACGGGTATACCTGAAGTATTCATGTAGTTACTTTTTTCGAGAATATGTTAAAAAATTCCAACATATATCACAACAGATCATTAAGTGATATCATTAAGCTAACAAGGCTGAGCATACCAGCCAAGCCAGATCACTTGACTGAGAACTTTGTACCGTGTCTACAGGTAAAATCAATGCACTTGTTGCATGTTTTTTGTAACCTTCAGTCAGCCTTGTTAGCTTTGTGTTCAGTTGTCATTGAGCACATCTAATGTTATCTTTCTGGACCCTTAATGCATTTCCTTACAGTTTTCTCGATATTATCCAGTCCATTGATACTTTAGTACAGACTTTTTGTTCAATATTTTTAATATCCAAGGCTGTGCGTATGCACAAATTCCTGTGTTCAAATATCACATTTCAGACTAAAGGACCTTTATTTTAATCAAAGAGTTTGACCAAAGGCCATTTAAGGATTTTTCTTTGTACTTTATAACCAAATTGCTTCTTCAATTTTTTATTATTGAAAGGAAAACTGAGATGGGCGACTACAAATTTTTCAGCTGACATGAGCCCGGATGAAATATATATTCGTACATGCAATTTACTGAACCTCATTTGCACTCAGCTTATGTTGATTCACTGATAAGATAAGATTGTATTGCATAGAGACGGGAATATGTGCTTGATAAACTGTGGTAAAACCCTGTGTCAAAACAAGATCGATATCTTATGTTAACTAATATAACGCATGTTGGTGATTTTATACTGAAAATCTGCAACTTCAGTCTATTACAAATGTGGTAAGCGGGTCTGAGAATGAGAAGATGTGAGGAGAAGAGCCTTTTGTACTGAGAATCTGCAACTTCAGTCTAATACGAATGTGGTAAGCGGGTCTGAGAATGAGAAGATGTGAAGAGAAGAGCCTTTTGTACTGAAAATCTGCAACTTCAGTCTCATACGAATGTGGTAAGCGGGTCTGAGAATGAGAAGATGTGAAGAGAAGAGCCTTTTGTACTGAAAATCTGCAACTTCAGTCTAATACGAATGTGGTAAGCGAGGCTGAAAATGGGAAGAGAGGAATGCAATAGGGATGTGATACTGACATATCTGCCTTTTTTTCAACCTCAATTTATTTTCCGCATCGCATCGCTCAGCAATTAGCATAGTATCACGGTCACATGAATGGTTTAACAGAAGTATGTATCAATTCCGACATTTCAGCGGTAATGTACTCGTATGTAAATCAAATTTACTTAGAAAAGAAAACTGTTTTTTTTAGAATCTCTGTCAATAAAATAAACTAAAGATATTTCAAGTTAATTTTTCAGCAACTTTTTTGGCATTTATATCGGAATAATCTTACCTTTCAAACGATTTCAGATATATGAGAGATATCTGTGATAAATATTATCTTAAACCGCCTCTTTCAGAAAAAAAATAACGAACAGTTTCATGAACGGTCAAATTTATCATGGTTTGCGACACATATATATGTTATACATGTTGGTACGGGGATTGAGAAAACAATTTCTGTTACCCATGTTGTAACATCCTCGATACTCAAGCGTAACGTTCATTGTTGCTCTCTGCAACCCTGAAACATGTGAAAGCAAAATTGAAGTCACGCGGCTAGCTATGTGATTGGTCTCAGGTAAAAAAAAGCCTGACCTATTGCTAAAGCTAATACCTGTCGTTTGCAGATAACAGCATGGAGACACCCGACTTCAAAGTCAGTAAATTTTACAGTTACGCAATCAAACGATTCTTTTGATGTACATCAAAGGATCAAATTCATCTTTTGATGTACATCAAAGGATCAAATTCATCTTTTCGTTTCATCCACAAGGTTGTGCACATTGAGCCTTTGGTTTTGCTATGACATATTCCAGGGGTGTAGAGAGCGAAAGTGAGACAACCCAACCTAGAGGCAACTAACGTTCAGTATTTAGGGTAATAGCAAAAACTGGTTTATTCTTTGTCAGTATTATGTGACCGGGTGGAATACTATGCAGGATGCCTTTTGCATGGTATTTCAGTTAGGTAGAACTATGGAGTCGGAATCAGATCCGTGTTGTGACAGGGAGGCAAATACATCAACATACCGTCTCCAGCGCACATACACACATGTACACATACACACATCCACGCACATACACACACATCCACACACATCCACACACACACATCCACACATAAACAAATACACACATAAACACACACACACACACACACACACACACACTGACTCACTCACATACACACATGCACATATACACACATGCCCGCACACATTATACCCATTGAGGCATGTGTTTTATGGACCTTAGATTTTAATAAGACGTTAAACAAAATAATGCCAAACTGAAACCAAATTCTATAATATTCAGTATAAACATGAAGAAAAAGTGTGCTACAGTATACATCGATTCGTTGATTATGATCGAACTCCTATCTATGTCAATTGAGTGTTATAACATGTTTTTAACCAAATAAATACAATTACAATACAATATTTTACTTTAGGAAAAAATGGGCGTGGATTTGGCAGTGTACCGTGCAAGGATCGGTCAGTTTGTGCCTCGACCAGTGAATGGTATTGTGTCAAACATTGACTACCTGTGTAAAGCTATTGCCAGTGTTCGGGGCGGCTTGATACGACAAGATGGATTGAACAGCAAAGGGTCTGTTAAATTCATTGATCTCCTCCTGCGTGCACAAGGAATTGAACCGAACCCAGGACCAGGAAAGAGAAGTCAACGGGTACGTGTGATCTAAAATCTTACCCTACGATAAGTTATCTATTCTGATGTATATTTCTTTTAAGTTTAAGTATGTGTTCCGTCAGAATTTATCAAAGACGTTGCTAAAACCTCTCTGAACTGACCTCAACTTTGACACATCGACGCGTAAAATGATACGTTATCTCGGCTAGAGTTTATTCATAAATTACATATGAAAAAAGACGTCAATCAATTAATATGTGATCAAACTAAATAGTACTTGCGGCATTTTTTATATTATCTGTTACAGTAAAAATGATTCGTAGAATGTATCTTTAGATATAGGCAACCATTTCTTTAGCATGTACTCCTGTCTATTTTTCTATCAAACATCGATGGAATGAATTAAGTTTGTTTCTGTAAGTATTCGGGTGAGGACGTGTCGGGTGGATGTCACGTGGTGTATGGTGTATATAGGGAGCATGCGCTTGGAGCGCTCTTTCGAGTTCGTTGCTCATTACCGTGTCTATACATGACAATTTTCCTATATATAGAGTCGGGGTTTTTTTTATCAACGGATTCAAATGCAATTATTTGTAGACGTATGTTGGCCAGTTGGGGTAGGATATAGTGGATAGGTGTGGTTTTGTATCTGGTTGTGGCTTGTAGTAATTGAATGAGCAACAAGCTATAGTCCCATTTATCATTTGAATTTAGTTGATTTATATTCGGACGAGTATAATGAGGGAGAAGATAATTTTATGAATGCTCAATGTAACACGTTTGTTCCTTATAGTCAGTTCCAGGCGAACAGACTGAAGAAAATGATGACGTCAGCATACAGCTAGGTAAATACGAATGATTGAATATTAATAACTATTTTGAAACATAAGTTACTAAGTCCGCCAGTCCCAGATTTGTCAATTAATCTGCCAATAGCGAAAACAAAGATTACTTGAATAAATAATTTGTTAGTGCTACGTTAATGTAACCAGCCCGAGACTTAACATCCGCGATACTCCAGGGGTTATGCTCATTTTTGTCATGACAAAAATTGAAGGCACGCGGCAAGCTATTGGATTGGTCTCAGTTAAAAACAAAAAACAAAACAAAAATGACCGTAGCTGATGTCCTTTGAAAATTACAGAGGAGCGACACCAGACTTCAAAGACAGTCAATTTTATTGCTACGCGACCGCGAGATTATTTTGATGTACATCAAATGATATAACAAGTCTTCTTTGTCTCATCTACAAGGTGTTGCACCATGAGCCTTCGCTTTTGCTATGACATCTTCCAGGGGTGCAGAGAACGAAATATATTAATATTGCAAATACCGTACCACTTATGTTTGTGATGTTTCTTCAAATGTACAAAGATAAAATATGAAAATGTGAATCTTAGTAACAATAATTATTTTGCAGAAAGTAACGTTAACCCAATCAATGCGGATATGATCAGTCGGGTTATGGAATCTTTTCTACCTGTCAGCAATCCCTCCGAAACAGGAAGTAGTCAAACAGACGAGTACGCAGGCGCAGTAGCAATACCTGGTCCTTCTTCCGGAGCAATTGCCAAATCAACTGTTGTATCTCAAGGTAAAGTAACGAAACACTTTTGCAAAACAGTAGATGCATTCAAAATTGGATAGTTAACATTAGAACTGATTTGTTCATATAACCTATATATATATACTAGTATATATCACAATAAATATCTTGCTGTGGTAATTGTCGAAGATTTAAGATAATGAGTTTTTCAAATTAAGTTTGTTTTCTACTTTTCCTTTAATATATATATATTGGACACATCTTTCAGTGGTGATCAATTACGTTGTCAAAAGAAAACATAATAAAGAAATCCACGTTGCGAATATGGAAATAAAAACCGCTGAAAATGTATGCACTGGAGAACAGACAATCATCCATACTGGTTTGTACATATATAATCTTCAAATAAAATCGTTTTCAACAAGGTAAAATATGAAAATGTGAATCTTAGAAACAATAATTAACATAAATGGTAACGCATTATTTTGCAGACAGTAACGTTACCCCAAATAGTGCGGATAGGATCGGTCGGGTTATGGACCTTTTTCCACCTGTCAGCAATCCTTCCGATACAGAAAGTAGTCACACAGACGAGTACGCAGGCGCAGTAGCAATACCTGGACCTTCTTCCGGAGCAATTGCCAAAACAACCGTTGTACCTCAAGGTAAATTAACGAAACACTTTTGCAAAATATTAGATGCATTCAAAATTGGATAGTTAACATCAGAACTGAATTGTTCCATATAACCTATATATATTCTAGTATATATCACAACAAATATCTTGCTGTGCTAATTGTCGAAGATGTAAGATAATGAATTTGTCAAATTAAGTTTGTTTCCTACTTTTCTTTTAATATATATATATTGGACACATCTTTCAGTGGTGATCAATTGCCATGTCAACAAAATATATAATAAAAAGATCTGCGTTGAGAATATGAGGGTGAAAAACGCTGAAAATGTATGCACAGGAGAACAGACCATCATCCATACAGGTTTGTACATATCTTATCTTCAAATAAAATAGTTTTCAACATTTCTGTAAAAGAAAAGTGTAACAATTTGTTTGGTATTTGATTGCAATTGTTTTCGATGCTTTTTTCAATGCCAGTGAGCTATTACTACGTATCTGAACTTTTTTTAATGACTCGTCGTTTTATATGTAACCGAAATCTAGAAAACATCACTATTAAAAAGAAGACTGGCAAATTTTCAAATCTACACCGATGAAGGATAAGACTGTAAAGGTGATTGGAAGCGAGTTATCTTTTCCTTTCAGGCCAGGCGGGTGATAATAAAGACGAGGACATTCCAAAACAGAGGAAGAAAAGTGACAAAAGAATTCTGCTTGAAGGTAATATCAAATAAATAAAGATGTATCTAGTAAATAACCATTCATTACAATTCTTTATCTGATGGTAGTTGTGTCGATTAAATAACCCTTCATCACAAGTCTTTATCTAATGGAAGTTGTGTCGAGTAAATAAACCTTCAGCACAAGTCCTTATCTGATGGAAGTTGTGTCGAGTAAATAAACATTCATCACAAGTACTTATTTGATGGCAGTTATGTAGAGTAAAAAACCTTTCATCATAAGTCTTTATCTGATGGTAGTTATGTCGAGTAAATAAACCTTAATCACAAGTCGTTATTTGATGGTGGTTGTGTCGAGTAAATAAACCTTCATCACAATTAAGTCTTTATATGATGGTAGTTATGTCGAGTAAATAAACCTTTATCACATGTCGTTATCTGATGGTAATTGTGTCGAGTAAATAAATGTTCATCACAATTCTTTATTTGATGGTAGTTGTGTCGAGTAAATAACCCTTCATCACAATTTTTTATCCGATGGAAGTTGTGCCGAGTAAAGAAACCTTAATCACAATTCTTTATCTGATGGAAGTTGGGTCGAGTAAATACATCATCATCACAACTCTTTATCTGATGGAAGTTGTGTCGAGTAAATAAACGTTCATCTCAATTCTTTATTTGATGGTAGTTGTGTCGAGTAAATTAACGTTAATCACAATTCTTTATCTGATGGTAGTTGTGTCGGGTAAACAAACCTTCATCACAATTAAGTCTTTATCTGATGGTAGTTGTGTCGAGTAAATAAACCTTTATCACATGTCGTTATCTGATGTTTATTGTGTCGAGTAAATAAACGTTCATCCGATTCTTTATTTGATGGTAGTTGTGTCGAGTAAATAATCCTTCATCACGATTCTTTATCTGATGGAAGTTGTGTCGAGTAAATAAACCTTCATCACAACTCTTTATCTGATGGAAATTGTGTCGAGTAAATAAATCAACATCACAATTAAGTCTTTATTTGATGGAAGTTGTGTCGAGTAAATAAACGTCCATCTCAATTCTTTGTTTGATGGTACAATGTAGTTGTGTCGAGTAAATTAACGTTAATCACAATTCTTTATCTGATGGTAGTTTGGTCGAGTAAATAAACCTTCATCACAATTAAGTCTTTTTCTGATGGTAGTTGTTTCGAGTAAATAACCCTTCATTACTATTCTTTATTTGATGGTAGTTAAACCTTTATCACCTTTATTTATCTGATGGAAGTTGTGTCGAGTAAATACACCTTCATCACAATTCTTTATCTGATGATAGTTGTGTCAAATAAAATAGCCATTCATCGCAAACATTCATCTTGGTGGAAGTTGTGTCAAGAATAAGTAAACAATTTACAGGTTTTATAAATACTTCAGAATAGGTACATGCAAGAGGTTGGTCGCTCCTTATATATATCTTACTGAGTATGCTGTGGGTCCCATAAATGTGGAAAGGCATTGTTAGTATTTGTTGTCTAGAAAACGTAAGGAAGCTGTCCTACGCTAGATTTGTCTAATCCTTAGCAACATTGAATATTATTGAGCGACTTTGCAATGAGCTTGTTCGTAAAAACAAAGCGTTATCGTCCAGAATGCTCATACAGACATTCTTTTTCTATAAACTAAAACATAGGAATAAGTCAAGATTTTCTTCCACTTTTGATTAAGCATTCTCTGCTAATGTTCTGGAAAGATTGCATCTTATTGATAAAATATCACTTGTTACGACAGTCCAATTTTGACAGTATCAACTTTAGAAAGTAAAAACTCGATACCTCAGCGTCATTTAATAAAACGACTTTGAACAAATTTACATAAACACTACGCATACCATGCATTAAACTCCTTTGTTATTCTCTTATCGATACAGGAATACATATGAAATCTTATTAAAGCAAGTATTTGTGAATTTCCATTTAATATTTTCCAGAGAATACCGAAGTGATGTTAAAACGCCACATCCAGGAAACAGCCAATTTACTGGTGACTAGGAAGGGAGCTGTAGCGGCAGTAGTCAAGCGTCTGAAAGACTACAACATGGTGGTCATAGCTGGCGTCACGGGAGAGGGGAAGACAACTCTGGGTAGGGAAATATGTAAACAGTTGCGAGACGGTACCATTGACAAAGATATCAAACCAAAGACACCCGTTCTCATGACTATTTCACAAGACTGGAATGATGTCGTGAATGACAAAGATGATATCGTTGTGTTTGTAGATGATATATTCGGGAAGACAAACTATCAGACTGGGCTTCTGAATGGTTGGAAACCATTCTTTGATAGAATATTACATTGTTTACAGGAGAAAAATGTTTGTTTGGTGGTAACATCTCGTACGCACATACTTAAAGATGCTAGACGGGAATCGGGAGTATCAATTAAAATGGTAAGTGACCACATTCTTTCCGAAAAGAAAACCGTAGATTTGACTGACGACCAGAAATTGGCTTCGGCTGAACGTTCGGACATTTACAAGAATCATTCTCGTCAGAGAGATGTTGACCAAGGCGGCTTGTCTAACGCTCCAGTTTATAGTTTTCCACCAAATATTTCTTTAGGTTTTGCTCAGGTTTGCAAGCTTTTCTTCACCAATGATACATTTTTTGAGAAAGGTGAACAGTTTTTTATGAAGCCTGATAGAATACTGACAGAAGAAATAGAGAAAATGAGGCTGACTGAACCGCACAAATACCTTGCATTGGTATACTGTTTCTTAAACGATCAAACTGTAGACAGTAAAAAACTCAATCGCCTGAAAATCTCAAAGGAAGATTATGACACTTTGAAAATCTATGCAGAAGTTTGTGGCGTTATTCAGACTGACAACGTATTGACTCTGCTCAAAAACGGACTAGACGCTCTTGATCGTACATATCTTACGAGACAAAACACTGTGTTTACATTTGGTCATCAATCAATTGCGGACAGTGTTAGTCTTGTCTTTGGAAAGGATTTTCCAGATATGATTCTAGAAAAATGTAGCAACCGCGTGATATTGGAACTGCTGGATGTTTCTGAAACTGATCAAACAGATATGTGCACCTTGCATGTTCCTACTGATTGCTTTGAACACCTTGTAAAGCGAATTTACAAGATGATTATTGGAGGGGACATCTTTAATAGAATAACACTAGAATCATTCCCCCGGTTCCAAAATCAAGAGCTTGCAGATTGTCTCTTCGAGTATATCACCACAAGAGGAGACATTCGAGCTTTCCATAGAGCTCATTTAGGTGATGGCTTTTCTTCCGCGAAAAGTCTATTAGAATCTTGTGCGAACAATGTTTTCTTCTTGAAGTCTCTTTTCAAATTCAAAGTTGACGAGTTCATTGTCAGGGAGAGTGGTATTTTGTTCTTTACGAGAGCATTACAAACAACATTGCAGCAATCACTGGAACATAACAACAGGGCTTCAATGTTGTTTCTGCTTGCACATGGGGCGTTTTTAACTGAAAAATGTCTTAATGTATCAATTGGTTCACACGATGTGGACCTAGCAGAGTTAGTATTGTCAAGGAATATCTGGACAAAATCAGAAGTCAGCGAGCACATTGACGACGAAACACCAGATCATATTCGTGAAATGCTACAGAAATGTACGAACACGTGCAAAGTAGACATGGTACGAAATCAGTATCTTAATCAGAAAACATACGTTAACACGAGAGATACCAACCTCTCAAGTATGAGTACCAAAGAGATGATGAGGGCCGCGGAAGGAATGGATTTTGACACGCTACATGCGATTTTTCAGTCTCCGGAGTTAAAAGATCATCATTATTGTCTGATTAAAGCAATACTTGACACAAAACACAAGAGGTTAAGTGACGCTATTGCCTTCAAAAGAATGGCTGGACAAATCGACGGGACAGTTGTCCAATATGCGTTACATCATTGTGACTTGGACATGTTTCGGTTCTTCCTTTTCTCATCAAATGTTAACGAAGCACAGTTGACATCAATGCTCTCTGAAGCCATTCATCTGAACAAAACGGACCAAATAGAAATCTGTATCAAAGCAGGTGGACAACCGTCCCTGCATGACTTAATTTGGAAGGCAGGGACAGTTTGTATGGATGTGGAGCGTGCTGTTGAAACCATCATAAGAACAATATCTTGGACACGTGCACAGCTTGATCGTGCTCTTGACGCAGCCGTACGCTCTGGTACACATGCTACAATGAAAGTCCTTTTCAATGGTGGAGCAAGGTTTGCAGAAGATGCGTTGGTAAATGTGTCTAAAAGGCAGTATGATCCACTTGAAGCGTTAGTGTCTGTTCCTGAAACAGTTGGTTATGTTTTTTCGAAACACAAATGGTCCAAAAGCCAAATGACCGATGCAATAACAGCTGCATTAGAATCGGGATCATTTCACACCGTGAAGTTTCTAAAACACAAAGGAGGGTCATTCCGCAACGACGCCTTGCTAGCCGCTGTAAGAAGTCAGCAGGAGACGCTAAAAATTGTGAGGTTTGTGCGAGAATCTAATGACTGGTCAGTTGATCAGCTGAGCGATGCACTACATCTGGCGATGGTTCTTTGTAGATCAAAAGTTGTTTTGCACTTGATGTGCTGGGGAGGAAAATTCAATGACTCGAGTCTACAACACGTTCTCCAGTGGAAGGTTGAACATCATGTTCAGATCAAATTCTTGAAATACATTCTTATGTCTCGTACCTGGTCATCAGCTCTGCTTGATGAAGCCTACGGTAGTGCATGTAAATCAAACGGTCTTGCAATACTTGAAATTCTTGATGTTGCGGAGACCAGACCAGAAATACCTACCAGAGATGTTCTTCTAAAATTACAAGAGATCGAGAAGTTGAAGGAAACGACTCTCGAGATGTTAGAAGACGATGGAATGGATGATGATCTAGCTTTAGTCTTAAATAAAGAAATTCAAGAAGGTTGCAAAGACATTGTTGAACATCTTATTGGCGAGCTGGGGATTTCCTGCGACAACGATGGCTTATTAAATGCCATGGACAACACCCGGAACTATCAAAGCTATGATAGACTGAAAATGGTCCGTCTGTTGCGGGAATCGCAAGACTGGTCCGATGAGTTACTGACGAGGGCGTTAGACAAAGCTGTAAGACTCGGGTACAGTGAGGTGATATTGTACCTACATACCCAAGGCGCCAATTTCGGTGACAACAGTTTGGAATACGCAATGATGCATCAAACTATGGGATACAATCCATATGATCTTGTTACTTATATAATGGAATCACGTCACTACAACAAAGAACAAATGAACAATGCACTGACAAAATCTTTGGAGGTTGGTCATTATCAACTTATGACAATATTTCATGAAAAGGGAGCAGAGTTCGCCGATAAAAGCCTACAAAACGCAATCCATAAAAAGTGGATACCCTCAGATCGACTTCCAGCAGTCCAATTCATACTTAATGCAAGACGATGGGACACTGATGAAAAGAACAATGCGTTATTCAGTGCTGTAAAGCTAGGGGATATACGCGTAATTGCATGTCTTCTGAAATGTGGAGGAGAGGTGTCGAAACAATGCTTGACCGAAATTCTTGAAAAGAATTGCAAACCGTCACATCGCCTCTGTATCGTAAGGCTCCTGCTCTCTAGTTCCGGTTGGCTGTCGCCGGAGCTTCTTGAAGAGGCGGGGGAAAGGGTTAGACAACTGTCAGAGCCCAAACTCGAGGCGTACATCCAGCAATGTAACAAATAGGGAAACTACGTTACCCAGCCAACTTTTGAATTTTGGAAAATGTTTCAGATCGATCAAGGAAAACAACAGTTTATCAAAAAGCATGTATGAGTATGACGATGATATGATAACATGTTATATAAGAAAGACAATCAACAGATTTGATAATATTACTGCAGAGTCCTGTCAATCCAGATGTCAATTATCCGCTCGCTCTACTTTGAAGGTAGAGTTTTTGGGTAAGGATTGACATTTCCTTTTCACGAGTGTACCAGTTATTCAGTCGTTTGTGCCGTGAACATCAGCAGCTAGATCACAAATGTTCCGATGAATAGATAGGGCATCAGCAATATGTATAATCAGGATCGCCAGATAATAATTGTACTGAAGATTAAAAGCCATTACAAGTAAAGAAGGTGGCACTACAAAATGTCTCATTAGGTATGCCATAACGCTATCGTTAATTGGATGACTAGACAGTATTACTAGGAATGTGTGACGGTAGTATAGAATCAAGATAACAGATCAACATGACTTATCAGGATGTTTTGACAATTAGTATTGTATTAGAATTTTAAATCTGAAATGTCGGAATTTCGGACAGCAGGAAGAAACCAATATGTGTATACACGTTACAACTAGGATGACAGTACAACATAACGGTATGTTATTATTAGCTAACCGTGGAATGTGTTAATTCGTGTGTGCTCAGATGAGAGTTAATGTGACGTAGTTGGTAGTATAGGTAGAGGTTTTAATGTGCTATTATTTTAAACCTGCTACTTTTGTTTTGGTGTACATCACATTGACACAAAAATGTTTTTTGTTATTGAATGTGGGTACAATCTAATAAAATGAACACTTACTGAGTAATGTTATACACAATCACAAGGCAAACATGTGTAACTTTTTTATGTTCAAAATGGATTTGATTCCCCAACATCTTTTCGGAGGGATGCCAGGGTTGGGTTGCCCCAGGCTCATCCCTCTAACATAATGTAACCTCACGCAGGAGGCCACTTTCCCCTCATTCTCTCTTTCTTTTTCATATCTTCTCTCAAACTCCAAATCATTCATTCTTTCATTCCCATTCATTACAATAATACTAATATTTGATTTGATCGAAATGATATATTGAATTACCCAAACCATTCCTTCTATTCATATTCAAATATTGACAGTACATTCATATTTATGAATTCACTTTATATGACAAAATATTGCTTTATTGATTTGGAATTGCTATAATTTTCTCAAATTTAAACCAGATAAACCGAATTTATGCTACTGAAAGAATGTTTGGAATGACTCAACAAGAATGTGCGGGGGAATAAATAATGTACAAATACGAATGTATCTACCGATTTAAACCTTTATACATACACAAAAACATAAACAGTGTAAAATCGTGTGAAAATTAACTACATGCTATGTATTTATAAATAAAGTAAACACACATTCGAGATGACAAATATATTATAGGATTCATGCATACCACGCATAATTGTACACATATATACTCACATTCAGGTACAAACTGCTACATCTTACATAAGTACATCCCACACACATACACACATACACACCTACACCCTTGCATACCTGGCAGCATATATATGCATTGCAAACATTCTATATATATACTGTAAATTCACTACTTTAAGTGTACTCCTATTTTTGAAATCTAGCATGTTTCAATTCTACATGCATTAATCATATATACATTTTGTATAGCATTTATTTAAGTTAATGATAATTCAGCGTTTTTGAAAGAAAAAAACGGTGGGGGTAAAAGTGTATTACCACGGTGGTAATAAATTCGTTTACAGTATAGGTATTCAGATATCTTTTCCTTGTACAATGATGCCTGCAATTGATGTGGATCAATTAATTTTCGCCAATATTTTACCAAAAGACAAATACGTCCTATATGTACATTGTTGACGTGTGTATGAATAGGTATCAGTTTTACATTTGAATTTAAACTTGACTTTATTCGCTATTAAAAGCGAAAATCTAAATATCACCAAATATGTACGATACTAAGTATTAAGTTGCTTTGTTGCCTCTCGTTGACGTTGTTTGTGCCTGAAATGGAAACACTATACTCGCCACTTCTGCTTATAATAGTGATAGAAATAAAACAATACTGGGCCCTGTAGCATGTCCTATGTAACAGCAATGGAATGAGACACGTTGATATAATAGTTTTATGAACATTTTAGCTCCTAGCTCCATCAACAGTGATAACTATGTATATTTGTGGGCTAAGTGGAGGGGTGTTTCCATTTTCCATTTTTCTACGTGAGCAACGGGTTTTCATAAGCAAGCATTGATCTTTAAACTGAAAATATCAGTTTTGACCTTCTGATGACGTATTTTGTAATATGTCATTTTTTTATAATATAATTAAATTCCGTTTTCTACTCTTCTTTGTATTTAATGTAAATATATAAACTTGTCTGGCGAAGTGACATTGTATTATTTAATTTTCTGTACAAAATGAATCGTGTTATAAAAAATTGTTAACGTGGTATCTTCAATTGATAATCGTTAAGACTTTGACAGAAATATCTGTTATCCCAACCTCACAGCAAAATTGGCGTCAAAGCTGAAAGTGACGATTCTTTATTTGGCCCCTCTCAGTTATGTTACTATTTTTGCATCACCACTTGGTGATATATTCGATGCCAAACGATCAGCTGTTTATCTAGAATGTTGTATTAATAAGATCTATTAATACGATTTTAAAATGTTATCGTTATTCGGGCTCATAGCGAAAACAGATGAGTCGCCTTCATTGACCTTCCTTTCCCAAGTCAAGATAAATCTGGAATTTGAACAAAAAAAATGTATTAATGTATATATATATATATATAAATTTGTAAACACAAATTATTGATGTTAAATATCCCTGTTCCACTGCACTGTGGTTTTTCCTAAATACAGTACCCCCTCCCCTTAACTTTCGTTTGGATATAACAGTCGGGCTATGACCCTACCGATGACCAGGTAACTAAACTGGTCAGAGGGAAGGTATATATAATAGTCTCAACTATTTCATCCTTATTAATTCTCATAAAAGACCTGTAAGGTATGGTTTACTTTCTAGAAATGATTTAACAAAGCTATAGTCATGCCGGAAAAACAGTTTTGGCAGTGGAACGGGGATCTTTAAGAAAACGGTTGTGTTGTTCAATTACACAAGCTTTATATAGGACACCCGTTAAACGTTTATATAACGTCATGCATTCTAGAAAGGACACATTTTTCATTTCCTTTGAATGGGTTTTGTCCAGATTGTACATCGGATTATTTATGCAAATGTGATTTGGTAATATAATTATCGGTTTGCAGATATAATTTTCAATACGAAGTAAGAAATAATCGTTTGAATGAATCATTGTATTTCTTAGTATGATATGTAGTAGTTTGACATTTGCTGTAATGTTTCAAAACTATTATTAACAAGAAGTAGGTATGTAGGTATGATTCATGCAAATGTAATTGTGTTAAATATTATCTTTGGTATAAAAATAAAATTTTCAAGGAGAACGAATTGGAATTCTTGTGGGTTTTTTCAGTAAAAGGAACCTTTTCAATTCAATACATTGATCTATTGCAAAATCAAACAAAGGTAAGTTATTGTTCGAAACCGCCATCGTCCTAGATCAAGAATAAACAATACATACCTTAAAATATAACATAGCATCAATACACAAGAACAAAATCCAGAACTCCGGGACTTGAGGAGACATCGAATCAAAACGAAAAGCATCATACAATTCACACATTCTAGAAGCGACATCAAATGATCAAAAAGCGTTTTCTACACAAGATACAAATCCTTTGTTATGTTAATTTACCATAACGTGTTAAGGTAAAATAAATATCACAGATATTTCCAGCTCAGAGCTAGAAATTAGATAAAACAACGACGACAGATGTTAAACTTAAAGTGAAGTACAAATCATTCGCTAAGTAATTTATTGGTAAATATGACATATCTAGTTAGAAAATCCTAATGCTAAAACATACTCTGGAAAGGCGAAGTAAAATCCATTGCATTGCTTTAATTGTAAATGGAAGAAGATATTAAGTTTACTTCATCTTGTCTGTGATTCACAGTTTAGTGTGATAATGGTTTATACTCAAGGACATAATATCGTCAATAAATCATCAGGTCCAAGGGTTTCGCTTCAATACAAGTATAAAAACACCACACATCAAAGCCGGTAATTTTACTGTAACGCTGGCGCACGATTTATCTGATCTTCATTTAAGACATCAGATTGGTCTACTTGTATCAACCACAAGGTGCCGCATAAAGTCTTCGATTTTGAAAAGACATATTGCAGGGGTACAGAAAAAATAAACGTATCGACAGCTGAACCCTTTGATTTCGAGGATGTCAAAACGTATGAATGTGAAATAAAAATAGGAACCCACATACACGGCCATTAAATAAAAAGATATTTGCTTACTAATAAACATTGATCTATTTTTCATAGGGAGATTCTTTCTACAGACCAATACATGCTTGAATCAAATACACTTAATGAAAGGAAAGGAGAAACTGTAGAATTCATTACTCCCGGGTTACACATCCTCGTCCCCTCCAGGAGTGGAGGTTAGGTTTACTATAGTGTATATTGGGGGGAAACACTTTGTTGTATATTTTGTTATATTCAATGGGAAAGAGTTCTAACTTGGTTGGAATGATTATCAAGGATTGCAGTCTTAAGGTATGAAAGCTAACACCATGATTCACCCATCGTGCTTGAGGGGCGGGGCACCAGTAGAGTTAAATTGACTTAAATGACAACATCGAACCAAATTCTCTTCATGAATGCAAAGAACTTAAGGTGCTGTATCAAATTTGTGAATTTCATAACCTCTTGGCAGAGAATAGAACGTCCTATATCATGATGAATTACATTATTATTTCAGTTTTTCCAAAAGAATCCCGGCTACACATATGTAAGTCAACCCCCAATATCATTATGTCAGGGAAACCGTCATCAAAATGACATATGAGGCCTGTATGGGCTATTTGTTTATGTCACATCATCACAACAAAAACACTATCATATTACACCCCAGGTAACCTTTATGGCCAATCGGTCTCTTTTTTACGTCTAACTACATCACAAACATACGAATGCTAACAGAAATATGATATTGTATATTCTCATCAATACATGGAGTCATTTTCAAATAATATAATTTCGTCATTACACTAACACTTTTAATTTATTTTTGTAACATACCCATGGAGATGAAAAAATCAACCAGGGATATCAGTTGATAAACGCTTACTTTTTCAAGTCTCGCAGACATCTCCAGATAGTTATTTAAATAACGTTACAATAATGTGACGTAATCTAATCAATAATATGATATCGGGTATAAGGGGAGGTAATGACATTAAAAAGTTATATCTAAAATATGTTTCTTTTATACCCTTTATCCCTTTAGATAAATAGTTTTTTGCACGGTCAAGTTTACCGTGTCTTTCATTTATTTTATTCCAGTTGATTACGCACGGTAAAATATTTATTTTGGATATGTGTTTATCTAAAACCGAAAACGAAAGTACAAAATTACGGTTATTTCCGAGTAACGCAAATGTAACCTTGACCCTTTACCAAGTCACATACCTTCATTAATGGATATCGACAAAAGTATGTATAATCTGCTGGCCAGATTTCAAGGCGGGGGAGCTAGCCCGTAAGGTGAGTATGACAACATTATGATTTTTAGAACTTCAGTATGTCTGAGAGCGTTGCAAGACTGAATACATTTGTAAACAGTCCTAAATTGTGTCCAATTACAGAATAAAACATGACAATACCTTATAGGGCTTGGCTATGCGGAAATGATTTTTGTAATACAATTGTTTCTAAAGTATATCAAAGGGACAACTTCTGATTATATACATATATTTTATTTAAATGAATATTTTTCTGGTGAATGTGTTACTACAATACCGTAAATTACTCTTTAAACCTTAATCGATAACTTGTTAATAACATGATCAGGAATTGTGGGTATTTTTGGTTTCGTGACTGGTGTTTTCCTTTATTTAATGACTTGTTAGCAAGGCTACTAAGATATGCCATGCCCAATTATCAGGGGTGATAAATACATCGTTCAAGCACATGTCAATGTATCTGATATCAGATATGGATCTCTTAAATAAACTAGAAAAATATATAATGGTTCAATATAAACATAAATTGAAAAGCAGTATTTGCCTGCAACTGAATCGTTTTTTCTCTGCTATAGCAAATGTAAAATTATGTACGTATTTTACTAAAAGTTTCATTATGATTGTTGTCCTCATATAGGACATAACCGGTAAGCAAATTATTTCAATGCCCGGTTAACTATTGTGTTCAGTTAAGGAAAGCCAAACTGAACATTTTTACAGCTCAACATCATTTATATTGCTCACTTTCATACACATTATCTCGGTTAATTACCACGAAACCTTGACATTTGTTTATAGTATAGTATGATATGTTTCACTTAAGGTGACAATGGGCGTGGATTTGGCAGTGTATCGTTTACGGGTCGGTCAGTTTGTGCCTCGACCAGTGAAGGGTTATGTGTCAAACATTGACTACCTGTGTAAGGCTATCGCCAGTGTTCGGGGTGGCCTGATACGACAAGATGGATTAAACAGCAAGGGGGCTGTTTCATTCATTGGTCTCCTCCTGCGTGCACAGGGCATAGAGCCGAATCCAGATCCAGGACCAGGAAAGGGAGATGAACATGTATGTTTAATTTCATGACTTAAATTACGAAACGTGTGGTATTTGTTCATACAAAACTGAATGAATTTTGTTGAAGCCTGATATCTTCGGGTGTTATTGGATTGCAGATGTACAAATATAATGAACAGTCATTCTCATTCTCTAATGACTTGGTCTGAACAATGCAAAATATTAGGCTTGAAACAATATGTTCATAGAGCTTAAGCAATATCATTTCATTACACATAAAATGTACTTACCAGTCATTTTAAACAGCATTGAAACCAGTCATATTGTTACCCGTAATTTCTTTATATATTTTTGTTGGCATGTACTTGTTTCTACATTTTCATTTTTTTTAATAAAAAGCTTTCCCTTACAGTCATTTGCAGACACTCACACGGACGACAACGACGATATCAACATCACGCTCGGTACGTACGACTCCACTCTTCGAATTTTAAGTTAACAGTAATAAGACATTTGACCAGCTGATAGATGTTGTGAAAATGTTCTTGAGGTTTTTTCTTCTTCGCCGAATAAACGCTTAGTTTGATGTTTCTATAGTATCAGTAATGCAGGGGTTTCATGTACACAGACAGGGGAATGTTTCTGGAGAAAAAAAACCTCGATATTATAGGACTTATTCTCGGCCTCTCTGGACCTAGTCTACACGATGACAAAATTGAGATGTGAAACGGTATGTTATCGGAGTTTAAGTTATATGATTAAACTACACATAAATATTATAACAAATTATACAAGTAAGTTATAGTTTTGCAATTTTTAAAAGCATCCTTCACGGACGAGTGTTGTAAAATGTATAAATATATAGATATCAGTCAGCTGGTATCATTAGCAACAACGATATTAAATTTAAAATCGTTACCATAGATATACACTCAGTATAATGCACGTTCACGATGTGTACGTTTGTTACGATACATGTTCTATATATTGTTTGTCTTAAAAATTCTCAATGGAGTTTTTGGTTAAATGTTTTTATTTTCCTAGACTAAATGCTCTCTGGACTGCATTTATACAGCGAATAAAGCTAATATGTAAAAAGGATTACCAAGAGCTAAGTTCTATTTGTGAAAATTCCCCAAATCAACATCGTTATAGGTATCATGTTATTTATACCTGACTCCAACAGTGTTGTAGCAAAGTAAATAATCCACGCGTTACAAGTAAAAATGTATACTGCATTATACTTCAGTACTGTGTTTATCATGGTTTTAAAGTAAAATATGTTGAGATATTCTTAAGAATCTCTACCCTTTTCAAAGGACTCTTATGCAGATCAACTTACACAACATAGAACATATCAAGTACAAATTAATGTAATTTGATCGTAAGCCTTGCAATACATCTTAAACAGTTTTTGAATGTGTTCAGTTATTCCATTACAGACAGTAACACTGACCCAAACATGGCTGACAGGATTAGCCAGTTTATGGAATCTGTTCTACCTGTCAGCAATCCCACCAATACAGGAAGTAGTCAAACAGACGAGTACGCAGGCGCACTAGCAATACCTGATCCTTCTTCCGGAGCAATTGCCAAAACAACCATTGTACCTCAAGGTAAAGTAATGAAACACTTTTGCAAAACAGTAGATAATGTGGATTCAACATTGGATAGTTAATATCAGAACTGAATTGCTCCATATAACCTATATATATATATCACAATAAATATCTTGCTGTGCTAATTGTCGAAGATGTAAGATAATGAGCTTTTCAAGTTGAGTTTGTATCCTATTTTCTTTTAATATATATATATATATTGGACATA